GGGGAACCGGTAAATACTTCTGCTACAAAAAAAGGTTGTGACAGGAAACGCTCAATTTTTTGTGCTCTTGCTACGGTTAAGCGATCTTCTTCGGATAATTCATCCAACCCAAGGATAGCTATAATGTCCTGAAGTTCTTTGTAACATTGTAAAGTTTGTTTAACTCTTTGCGCAGTTTCATAATGTTCTTCACCAACAATCCGAGGTTGGAGCATAGTTGACGTTGAATCTAAAGGATCTACTGCTGGATAGATGCCTTTGGCGGCCAATCCTCTTGATAGTACGGTAGTAGCATCCATGTAATTACAGAAATTATCAAAATGAAAGAATTGACGATAATAAGTATAACTATACAAAAACAAAAGAAAAAGAGCCCTTTTTTTGTAATTCTTATGATGCAATTGGAGCTTATCGGCAGAAAAGAATCCATTTAGATAGTCCTTTGTGGCTCCGGTGGCGACTAGATCAACGCGTTATTACTTCAAGAGAAGCTCCCATTGAAGTTCACTATCAATCTTTGGGTACCTATCATGAGATTTATGGACACTTACTAATAGTAAGAAGTATAAAAAAAGAAATTCTTTGTATATATCTTCGAACCACTGTTGGTCATATTTCTCTTTATCGAGAAATCGAAGAAGCTATACAAGGGTTTTTCCGGGCCTGCTCATATGGTACCTAATCATAGGGTATCCAAGCTAAGCAGTTCTATGAAACCAGTGTGAATTCGAGTCCCTCCGGTTCAACTAGGACCATAATTCCTAAATTTCTACGCGAATCAAGATCGAGAAAAGGAAGTTTTCCAATCATTGACTCAAACCCATTGTCAAACCCTACTCATCGGAATATGGAGGTACTTATGGCAGAACGGGCCGATCTGGTCTTTCGCAATAAAGTGATAGATGGAACTGCCATTAAACGACTTATTAGTAGATTAATAGATCACTTCGGAATGGCATATACATCACACATCCTGGATCAAGTAAAGACTCTGGGGTTCCGGCAAGCCACTGCTACATCCATTTCATTAGGAATTGATGATCTTTTAACAATACCTTCTAAGGGATGGCTAGTCCAAGATGCTGAACAACAAAGGTTAATTTTGGAAAAACACCATCATTATGGAAATGTACACGCGGTAGAAAAATTACGACAATCTATTGAGATATGGTATGCTACAAGTGAATATTTGCGACAAGAAATGAAGCCTAATTTTTAGATGACTGATCCTTTTAATCCAGTCCATATGATGTCCTTTTCGGGAGCTAGAGGAAATGCATCTCAAGTACACCAATTAGTAGGTATGAGAGGATTAATGTCGGACCCACAAGGACAAATGATTGATTTACCTATTCAAAGCAATTTACGTGAGGGACTGTCTTTAACAGAATATATCATTTCTTGTTACGGAGCCCGCAAAGGAGTTGTGGATACTGCTGTACGAACATCGGATGCTGGATATCTTACACGCAGACTTGTTGAAGTAGTTCAACACATTGTTGTACGGAGAACAGACTGTGGCACCATCCAAGGGATTTCTGTCAGTCCTCCAAATGGGATGATGCCGGAAAGAATTTTTATCCAAACATTGATTGGTCGTGTATTAGCAGATTATATATATATAGGATCACGATGCATTACCGTTCGAAATCAAGATATTGGTATTGGACTTGTCAATCAATTCATAACCTTTCAAACACAACCCATCTCTATTCGAACTCCCTTTACTTGTAAGAGTACGTCTTGGATCTGTCGATTATGTTATGGCCGGAGCCCTACTCATGGCGACCTCGTCGAATTGGGAGAAGCTGTAGGTATTATTGCGGGTCAATCTATTGGGGAACCCGGCACTCAATTAACATTAAGAACTTTTCATACCGGCGGAGTATTCACAGGGGGTACTGCAGAACATGTACGAGCCCCTTCTAATGGAAAAATCAAATTCAATGAGGATTTGGTTCATCCCACACGTACACGTCACGGGCATCCCGCTTTTCTATGTTCTATATACTTGTATGTAACTATTGAGAGTGAAGATATTATACATAACGTGACTATTCCGCCAAAAAGTTTTATTTTAGTTCAAAACGATCAATATGTAGAATCAGAACAAGTGATTGCTGAGATTCGCGCGGGAACATACACTTTTCATTTTAAAGAGAGGGTTCGAAAACATATTTATTCTGACTCAGAGGGGGAAATGCACTGGAGTACCGATGTATATCATGCACCCGATTTATGGATATTATCAGGAGGCTCGTACAAATCTAATGTAGTCCCTTTTTCAATCCATAAAGATCAAGATCAAACGAACGTTTATTTTCTTTCTGCAGCAAAAGGAAAAGCTAGAAATAGCTTTTCAGTAAATAATGATCAAGATCAAGGGAAACACAAATTCTTTACCATCTGGGTTCGAATCCTACTGAGAGGTCCACTAGAGATCATAAATTGTTGAAGAAAGAACAAGATGTTTCTTTTGTCCCTTCCAGGCGATCGGAAA